TGCCATCACTCACGTGATTGCCTTGCAGAGCATATATGACTAGCAATCTCTCACTTGACCTAAAGCCAATCTCACCTATGTGAATGATCTCCATCAGACCCTTGTGACGCTCAAAGACAATATAAGATAACGGTGTTGTCAGTGGATTTGCAATGTTATCTTCGGATGGAACTCTTTCCACTCCTATATCTCCTCGGATCACAGTCTCTCGGATTAGGAGGAACCTCCTTAGAATACTTCTGATGAGACTTGGGTTCCTTCACTTGAGCAATTGCCCCGTTGTTGTCGCAATATAAGGGAATATGCTCCTCACTGCTTCGCACGACTCCTAGATTTGTGATGAATTTCTTTATCCACACTCACTCTTTTGTTGCCTCTATTACAATAATGTACTCTGCCTCTATGGTTGAGTCAGTAGTAGTATCTTGCTTAGAACTCTTCCAGCACACTGCTCCTCCATTTAAGTTATATACATACCCTGAATTCGACTTGCTATTATCGACATCGAATTGAAAACTCGAGTCCATGTAGCCTTCAACCCTGAGGCTACTACCTCCATATACTAGTAAAAGATCCTTAGTCCTTCTCAAGTACTTAAGGATACATTTGTTGGGAAATCTTTGGGGGCGATATCATATGCGCAGCGGAAGAACAAAAAATAAAATCCCATATTCCCAAAGAGATGTTCGTTGTCGTGCAAAGATTGGTACGCAAAAATCTGTGAAACTTAAAACTACATATATAATATATTGTGTTACCTAGGAAGATCGTATATTCTTATTTTCTTGTAAATCTCTATGAGAGGATTAAGCAGGTCAAGCACTCTCCTCTCTAGTGGTGATCCATAAAGTAGGGCTGCGATGACGCTCCTCAAAACTCCAGACCTACTTTGAGGTGGAGAGGGGGAGGAGAATAGGAGAGGCAAGTAAAAGCTCTAGCCTATGAACCACTGAATCCCTCATATTTATAGAGGTCCCTTGTCAACTTAACCCTAATGGATCCTTCCCTATTGGGTATTGAATCTTTATCCAACTACCCAAACCTCTTAGATTAATGGATCTCTATTCAATAATCTCTCATGGGCTTTTATTGGATCTCGTCCATGGGATCTAATAATTCATAGGCTTATTAGATATCTAATAAGATAGGAGCTCTGACGGATATCTCATATCCGAACCTCTACTCATCGTAGTGCCTACCATATGTGTGTGACCCTCTAGGTCTAATATCGAGCTGGTTGTGAGTCATACCTGTCAGAACTCCTTCTGGCTTAGTGAATTATTATCTCCATAATAATTAACTCGACTCATCGATTACAGACGTACTAGGCCACTACGCCGTAGTCCTCAGACGATACAGGAAAATCCAATCCATTAGACCTCGATCCTCCTAACAATGCTCTCTCTCTTACTCTCGGGCTACCCAAGGACAAGTCCTTGATCCTCTCGACCATCAGTTAGCTAAGAGTTTGGAACTTAGATGAATTAGAAGAGAACATTTTCCTAACTTTCAAGGAAAAAGTTGTCTAATGCTTTAAAGATTTGAGAAAAAAAGTGAGAGGCAAAAGGCAATAAGATCAACGAAAGCGGAGCTCAAAGGGCAAAGTGAGCCTACCATGTAAGAGGGGGACCATCTTATAACCCTCGGAGCATCACTTCACCTCCCAGAGTATTGATTTGACTCCCAAGACTCCTGCTCGACGTAACACTTAGTGATTTTCTCACGAATGAAGGTTTGACCAGGGGAGAGTTAACCTTCCTTAGGTTAAGTATGAAAAATATGCTTGAGATGCCTTCGTTGAGCTAAGCATGAGAAACTCGTTCAAGATGTCTACCTTGGGCTAAGCATAAAAAAAATGCTCGAGATGCTTTCCTCAGGCTAAGTATAAAAAATATACATGAAATACCTCTCGTGAGTTAGACACGATAATACGCCTAAAGTATCCACCTTGGATTAGATAAGACTATATGCTTGAGACACATCCTCGAGCGAGTAGAGACCTTAGAGCCCGACACGATGTATAACAAATTACTTAATACCAAGTGAATACCCGGTGATCTTATTGCATATCAACCCACGGATGGACACCCGAGTCACCTTCTCAGCCGTTCGTTGGTTGATAGTGTGGACTCGATTATTCAATGGACGGCACTATTCAATGTGACTCAATCATTCCACAACTTGACTGTGAGCTCAAATCTGATCCGAGTTGAATTGGGTTGGATCAGATCCAACCCATCAATAGATCCGAAGCGCACCATGATTCAACGCACGGTCGACACCTTCGACCATCCCCATTCCGATTGCCCAATGGGAGTCGAATGAGTGCATACGAAGCATCGAATCTGCGGGCGCCGTGTGCTCCCTTTATAAAACCTCAACTGCCCCCTTCATCACTTCTTTCCATTTCTCATTGGGTCGACGACGGCGGGCTGATCAACGCTTCCATCAAGTTCCCCCAGGCTAAGTTCGTGATTCGTAAGCTCCGATCTCTTTATTGCCTCTTTATCCTTCGATCGATCTTCGATCTGCGCTGTTTCTTTCATTATCTTAGCAGAAATTTAGGGTTTTTTTTTCTTTGTCTGGCTTTGATGTTGGTCTGTCTTTAAAGCGATCCACTTCTTTTGTTTTAATTATATATCTTTTTTCCTGTAAGATTTTCGGGTTTTGTAGCTCTTTTGATCCATGTGGATGGATGGTGTTGAGTAATTAATTCTACTAATCCAGTCGATTGAATCTGAAACTTCTAATAGTTGTAATGTTTTAGGAATTAGGTTGTGCATGGTACTTCGCTTGTAGATGTACATGAACATAAATGGTCATGACCTGTTGTTCTACTCTAGTCCCACATGCTAGAACTACAATATTCATGTATCTTTTGTTTACTTTCATTCCTTTTTTGTGATTCAGATCTTCCAAATCTGGTATGTAAGTAGATACGAAATCGAGTTAGATATATATGATTCAAATTATTAGTTCGCTAATGATCTTTATCCATATATGGTTGTCTGTCAAAGAAGTTCAATATCTAATTTTAGTAAGATCTTATATTTCTTCCCTTGTTTCCTTCTTGACGTTCAATACTTTCCAATGTATATGTGCCGTTACTTGATGATTCTTGTCCTTTAATTGTGTGCAAATTGATTCCTGTCCTTTTTTGAATTTCAGCTCTTCCAAATCTGGAATGTATGTATTTCTGAACTCGAGCTAATTATATACGATTCATATTATTAATTCACTAATGATCTTTATCCTTATATGGTTGTCTGTCAGAGAAATTTAATATATAATTTTAGTAAGATCTTATTTTTCTTCCCTTGTTTCCTTCTTGACGTTCAGTACTTTCCGATGTATATGTGCCCTTAATGATTCCTATCCTATGATTATGTTCAAAATTGAATTCTGTCTGATTTTCTGCAATGATTTAAATAGTGTCTTTGTTACCATCATTGCGTTAGATTTCTTTGAGTCTACATTCTTCCTATACTGAATGATTATTACACTTTGCAAAAATTATATCATACTTGAAGTGTTGCATCAGAGTGTCATGTCATTATTGCCAGTATCGATTGGCAATGACCTTGTCATTTGTCTTGTAACATTTCTTAGTGTTTGCATTTTTAGTATTTGTGTCCAAGCAGTATGGTCTTCATCTGTTATGTTTGCAATACAATCTACTTCTGCCATCAGATCTCCCATGTTAATGTTCTTGATTAGGCAATATTCTTTTTTTATCTTTGGATGTTCTTTAAAATGGTAAACCTTAAATTTTCATGTTCTTTACAAAGTTCAGGCTCAATTCCTGTTACAGATCTTGTTTCTCATTAGTATGAATCTTGTTTTAATCTCGTCCTGTAGTATATTAATTTTTCTGTTTCTCAGTCATGCCATATGATGTTGCTGTCGTGTTTACAATCGTCTACAATGTTTTTTGAATTTGACCTCTTCCTTCTTATTGCTTATTGAATTGTTGTTAATTTAATAAAATGTGTGGTTTTTGAATTTCTTGTAACATTAAGTTGCTGCTTACAGGATTCTGCTTGCATATCAAATGTCTTTTGACATCAGAAAGGACTATCCTCGGTTTCTTTGGTGTGACTTTTGGTTTGTATGCCGTAGTAGGTTGTGGTGTTCTCGTCGAGTAAAATTTCGGCACTGGACATGATAGATAGTCAGAGGTTTTGGCTTGGAACTGGACTTAATAGATAAGGAATTTGTGAAATTTAGGTTAAAGATTTGATCGGTATAAATTTTTAGTTCTGAGTTTATAAAGATTATTACTGCTATGAAATTGAGGACAGCCTTGATAAGTGCAGTATTTATTCTCGTTGGACTAATCACATTTCAAATCTCATTTAGTATAGACAGGAAAAATCTTCATTTTGATGACGAAGGCCTTCCTCCCACCGGGCTTTCGTTTTCACCCAACTGATGTTGAACTTGTTTGGTACTACTTGAAGAGAAAAATAATGGGAAAGCCTTTTCATTTCGAAGCTATTGCAGAAGTTGAACTGTACAAATTTGCCCCTTGGGATCTTCCAGGTACTATATATTTACATCTGATCCTTTTTCTAGATACAAATATTATCTCGCTTCTAATATGTTTAACTTCAAAATGCCTAGATTTGCATAGTTATTATTTCTCAATGATCGACTATGATCACCTAAGCAGCCCTGATTCAGTATGTTTCTTTTGTATGCACTTCTCTTTTTTCTCTTGGATCAGTGTTGTTCCTAAATGGTACTTCTTTTTTCTCTGTGCAGACAAATCTCACTTGCGTAGTAAAGATCTTGAGTGGTACTTCTTTTGCCCTCGAGATAAAAAATATCCTAATGGCTCTAGAACAAATCGTGCAACTGGTATTGGTTACTGGAAGGCTACTGGAAGGGATAGATATGTGATTCATAATTCTCAGACTGTTGGGATGAAGAAGACTCTTGTTTTTTATGAAGGGAAGCCTTCAAAAGGCAAAAGGACTGACTGGGTGATGTATGAGTACAGGCTATTAAATCGGCAATTGGTTGAGGCTGGATTCTCACAGGTTTTGGGTGTTTCTTAATTAGCAAATCAGTTATATTTCTTAATTCCTTTGCTCTCTCATTGTGTGTGTTAATTGTAAGACATTAAAAAAATAGTGTATCACCATTAATGATTTAGGGAATGTCAATGTACGTATGCTTACCCCAGCAAGTTAAGGGGTTGTTTGTATGACTTGAGCCTTGGTAGTTCAAGTCATAAAAGAAGCAAACATGCATAATTTACATCCATGTTTAGGTAAAGAGGTTGTAGTTTGCTAACTAAGGAACATTTTAGTTTTCTGGAAGCGACATTCCTAGGCACCTAGGATATTGTTTGATATATATGATAAGTCCAATTCCTGGGTTCATTCGGTCTATTTTACAACATGTTCATGAGGCTGCATTCCATGAAAAATTTTAATTCGCCCTATGAAAACTGAACAAGCATGTTTAGGAACAACTTGTGCAATTGACAATTGTCTTGACAATCTAAATCTCTGAAAATATTTTTCTTCATGGAATTTGGGACTCCCATGTACTGATCTTGTTTGCAATATCATTACGTAGAAGTTTTCTTGTCAGTTTCAGTCAATTTGACCATTTGTTTAACAAAAAAGAATTATTATGTTACACTTGATTACCATGCATTTTCTCATGTATGAAACTCAACTTCCTCATTCAACATTACAGGAAGCATATGTTCTCTGCAAAATTTTTCAAAAAAGTGGTCCAGGTCCTAAAATTGGGGAGCGATATTGTGCTCCATTTAATGAAGAGGATTGGGAGGATGACACAATCACTGAGAATTCATTTCCTCTTCCTTCTGTATCTTGCCCAAATCCGGAACCATTAGTCAATCAGACTATACTGTTGGATCCTCTTAGTCAGCAACCTGTGGCCTCCAGTCATGTTGAGGTGCCTTCTGATCGTGATCTTCTTGATGCTGATGGAATATGGCTGGCCGAGGTGGCAGAGATTCTTAATAGCTCTCCACACATAGAGGCTGCTGGTGACACATTCATGGTTTGATTTCTTTTCTGAATACGTTGATGCAAATTCATGAATTTTTGATGTTGTTTGTGATCATCTTTGTTAGTTTCCTTGCAGATGTCTGACTTGGCCATTCTTGATATGAATGTTAACGATGCCTCTGCAGTGGATCCTGAAGGAATTTATGATGAATTTGGGAACCTCTCTTCTCATGCAATGAATTCTGGCAATATCAATCACCCTGAGAATGTTCTCTGCGAAACTGCCTTGCTTCCTATGTTATCAGAACTCGGTAGTGAACAATATGTGGAGCTGAATGATTTTTGCTTTACTAGGGATAACGACTTCACTGCATCCATCATGCCAAATGTTCCATTTGTTCAGCATGCATCAGCTCATTGTTCCACATTTCAGAACCAAAGTCCCATGGCCGATCTTATCTCTTACTTTGACAATGATGTTGTACAATCCTCTCCTTGCAGTACCTGATATTATCAGCGAAGGATCTTCACGGAATATCCAGGTGCATATTTAGGTTATATTTTTTGTTGCTTTTATCAATTTATTTTTTTATAAATATAGCTTTTGTGGTGGATCTAATTATTGAATTGATTTATCAGATTGAAGATTTTTTGAGAGCCTCATCCGAATGCACTTATTTCTGGACACGAGCACCATCATCTGTCGCAAGAGTTCCCTTCGGCTTGTTTCAACGGGCTCTTTTAGTGATCTGTTTTATGCATCATTAAGTCATCGCTTGTCATAATTATGTGCCTATTGTTGTCGAGAGATATTGTAAGATAAGGAATACAGACAATTTCAGTGCATCTGTTATGCACATGAGGGAGATTTCAACTCTTGGACGTAGGATGTTCATCATCAGTGTTCCCATGCAGAAGTTGACCTTGGTGTGATTCAGTTTTTGGCAGATCTTTTTCGGTGTTCATGACTGTCACATTATTCCCCTAAGTAGGCCATGAACTAGTAATCCAAATTGTGTCACTTGAAGACGGATCTATATAGGACATTAATGTTGATGTTTTACCATGCTCCGTACAGTATCTGAAATCGATCTGACTAATTCTGGTCGGATGAGTGCGGTGTTATTCGTTGAGTGCAGCTCGAGGCATCCATTTAGGGCAGAACAGCTGGTGTTTGTTCAAATGCCAGTGAACAGGCCGGAGATGCGGACCACATGGAACCCGTCAAAGATGGACAACAAGAAGAGCATCCGTTGCGATGATCTACCAACCAACGGTTCTCCTTCAACAGCCACCTATACCCCTTCCTTCAACAGCGGCTTCCACGGTTCTCAACTCGTACGAATCCTTCATCTCTCCTCTCTTCCTCTGCAGCAGCGGGAAGAGCCGGCCATGGCGCCCAGCAGGATCCGGAAGGCGCTGGGGGCCGTAAAGGACCAGACGAGCATCGGGTTGGCGAAGGTGAGCAGCAGCGCCACGTTGTCGGACTTGGACGTGGCCATCGTGAAGGCGACGCGGCACAACGAACTGCCGGCGAAGGAGAAGCACATCCTCGAGATCCTGAGCCTGATGTGCTACTCCCGGGCCTACGTGGGGGCGTGCGTGTCGTCGCTGTCGCGGCGGCTGGGCAAGACCCGGAGCTGGACGGTGGCCCTCAAGACACTCATCCTCATCCACCGTCTGCTCGTGGAGGGCGACCCCGCCTACGAGCGGGAGATCTTCTTCGCCACCCGTTGCGGCTCCCGGATGCTCAACATGTCCCACTTCAGGGACTCCTCCGGCTCCGACGCCTGGGACTTCTCGGCCTTCGTGAGGACGTTCGCGCTCTACTTGGACGAGCGGTTGGACTACAGGATGCACGGCCGCCGCAAGTGGCGCAGCAGCAGGAGCAACATCTACGAGGAGGAGGTCGACGAGGAGACCGCTGCTGCCGCTGAGGCGGCGTCCTCGAAGGCCAGCACGCCACTGAAGGAAATGACGACCGACCACGTCTTCGCCAGGACGCGCCACCTGCAGCACATGTTGGAGCGCTTCCTCGCATGCCGGCCCACAGGTGGAGCATTCCTTACTTCCCTTAACATTCATGTGATAAACTTTAGTCAATACCATCAACCATAATCATAATTAAATAGTTTGAGCCATAAAATATTAATAATTTTATATTCCTATAGTAATTTTATTAATTGTTACCGAGTATTTTAGCATAATATATACAAATTCCAATACTTAAATGTTCGTTTTTTGGGATGGTTTTATTATTTGAGGAGGGGGGGAACGTTAAAGCATGTATGCATACGATACGCAGGTGCGGCGAAGCAAAACCGCGTGGTGCACGTCGCGCTTTACCCCCTGGTGAAGGAGAGCTTCCAAATCTACTACGACCTCGCCGAGATCATGAACATCTTCGTCGACCGCTTCACGGACCTCGAAGTCCCCGACTGCGTCAGCGTCCATGAGATCTTCTCCCGCCACGCCAAGCAGCTTGACGAGCTCGACCTCTTCTACGATTGGTCGAAGTCCGCCGGCATCTGTCGCTGCTCCGAGTACCCCGACGTCGTGCGTATCACCCCCAAGAAGCTCGAGGTAATCGACGAGTTCATCCGCGACAAGGCCACCCTCGCCCACGCCAAGCGGCAGCCCAGCCCGGAGCCGGACCCTGCGCCGCCTCAGGACGAGTCCCAGTGCGAGATGGATGGCATCAAAGCGTTGCCCCCGCCGGCGGCCGACGCCGAGGGCTCGAAGCAGGAGCTTGCGGTCGTTGTCAAGGTCAAGGATGACTCCTTAGAGAAGAAGAAGGAAGAGGAGGAGGCGGTGGACTTCTTGAACTTGAAGGAAGACGCGATGACGGGAGAAGAGCACGGGGAGAAGCTGGCGCTGGCGTTGTTCGACGGCGGCCTGTCAGCGGACGCAGCGCCTAAATGGGAGGCGTTCGTGAACGACGACCCGTCCGACTGGGAGACGACGCTGGTGCAGACGGCAAGCAATCTGTCGGGCCAGAAAGCGTCGTTCGGCGGCGGCCTCGAGATGGTGTTACTCGGCGGGATGTACGCGCAGGCGCAGGCGCAGGCCGGGGTGGGGCACGGATACGTCGTCAGCGGGAGCGCGAGCAGCGTCGCGGGCGACCCGTTCGCGGCATCGTTGATGGTGCCGCCGCCGTCCTACGTGCAGATGTCGGACATGGAGAAGCAGCAGCGGCTGCTCGAGGAGCAGCAGGTGTGGCAACAATATGCCAAGGTTGGGATGGCCAAGCTGCAGCATCCTCCTCCCGGTGCATACGGTATGATGGGTGGATATGCTCGTCTGCGTTGAGTCAATTGGGGTGGAGTTGGGTATCGATTAGCTCATGACTTGTCCATATTGAGATGACGATGAATTTTATGATACAAAATTCACATAAAATGACATTATTAATTTAATATATAAAAGTCACATGCTCTACTTATTTTTGCTGAAAATTCATAAAATAATTTATGAGTTACAATGATTTAATAATTGTGATATATAAAATAACCCTAATGCTTATAATATTATTGTTACGGTAAGTAACTTTTTAAGCCGTGGCCTCGGGGCCGTCGCGGCTCGGTTCGGGGGTCCGGATGTCGGGGATCTCGAGCGACGTCCCTCGGGATCTCCCGGCGGCCGAGCACGGTGGTTCGGGTCGGGAGGTCGGTTCGGCAGGTTGAGTCGGCGGTTCGGGTCGGGAGGCAGCTCCGCCGCAGCTTCGGGAAGAGGCGACACCGTCTCGCACCTACACACAGGTCGGGCCGGGAGCTCGGCCTGACCCCTCCGACGATCAAGTTAGAGAAAGATGTGAAGAGGATTGTGGATGAGGCAGAAGAAGAGCCTCTGAGTGAGTTCCTCTCCCCCCTTTCTCTTTAGAGTTTGAGGGTATTTATAGATGAAGTTTGATGTTACTTGACGTGGTTGTCTGCAGGGCAGGACTGTACCTTCGGTGGCGTCTGGCATTGCCACTGGGGTTGCGTGGGAGGCCGAGCTGCCACAGGGTATGGCGAGCCTCGGGTAGTGTGTCGCTCAAGGGGTTGCTGTCATAGCGTGTCACATCGCCATTTTTACCCCTATCAATTATGATGAGTTTTTATTGTAGTCAGTTAACAATTAACTTATAGTAGCAAACTTCGATTAACTATAATGACATATTTATAAGTTTTAGAATGATATATAAATTTAGACGGATAACCGCTAACTTTTTATGGAGTAAATACATATAATTTTGTTGAAAATAAAAGATGGGTAGTTTTTCTTAAAAAAATCTCACTTTTTTATTTTTTTCCCTTATTTTTTTTCAAATAGTATCCATGTATTTATTTTGTAATCTCAAAAATAACTTTTATTATCTTCTTCGTTGTTGCCTTCGTCTTGTCGACCCCAAATGTTTTTGCTCCTCTTGTCGTTGTTCAATTATTGAAAAATTAAAAAATATTTTATTTTTTAATAATATATTTTATAATTTAAATGAACTAGTTAGTATCAATCAAATCATCATATAATTTTATGAAATAATTTTATTTTACTATTCTAATTGACTAAACGATCTTAAATCATCATCAAATTTTATAAAAAAAAACTAAGAGACATATAAAACTAAATACCTATCAAATTTTAATTTAAAATGAAATCATTTGGAGACTAAACTATTTTTTTAATTCAACTATAAACACTGATTCTGTTTTGCTGAAACTAGGTTGAGGCTATATAAACTTATAAACCTCATATTTTGGTGTATAAAATAATATTCATTCAATTCTAAATTTCACCGAACCTAACATTTTTTTTAATATATCAAAAGAATCGAACCTAATCATATCCCTAAATAGAATCTCTTTTTAGAAAATAAGAGATTTTGAGTATCTTATATTAAAATATTCATAACTCTTATGTATAAATTTGATATTAAAGTCATAGATTTTAGAACGATAAAAGATTCATACAAAACATATCCAAAAATTAATGATTAATTTCAAGCGGAAGTAACTCAAAAGCAGGTAAAAATGTCAGCCTTTAATTTATAAAACTGAAATTTTAGGTATGACAAGAGATGAATTATATTTTTCTTACCTTAATTTTTAATCAAGATCGTTGAGACTCTAAGAATAAAGAGTAAAAATCAAGAAATTTCATGTTCGTGAGGAAGATAAGATTAAAATAAATAGAAGCTAACTTTTGCTTAATTGGTTAGTAAGAGGTCATAGGTTCAATCCCATCAGGGACTCTCTTATTTTTTTTCTTCTTTTCTTAACATAATTCTAGTGTTATAACTCAATTTGAGCTTAATTTGGCTTAATAAGAATTAAGTATTTGGATCAAAATCCATCTTTCAATCTCACTTATGGATCTTAATATTTTTAGTATAATACTTTTATTTAATTTTTATCTTTATTTATTTTTTTATTATTTCATCCATATTCAAATAGTTGATTATCCTCGATGATGTTTAAAACTTAAAACTTTTTTTTATTTTGATTATGATCAAACTATTCGAATCTTGTATTATAATTCAATCGTTACTTTTAAGCATTATATATATATATTTATTATTGTAACTTAATCTCATACTAACTCCGCTAGCATACTTAAGCTTATTACACCAAAAGAATATACATTTTTATTACAAAATATGTTTTAAATTTGACGTTGATACTTTTGCATGCATAACCAATATTTCATAGAACACTATAAATAACATTTTTAGGAAAACATATACTTCAACTTTAAAGATAAAAATATTAATATATCATTTATCATATTTATGAAACATAGACATCACAAATCATATACTAAGTGAGGGTATGTATATATTATTTATATTTCTATTAGCATGTTAATTATAATTCAATGTATGTAAGACTCGAGCACTGCACCACCTATCATTGCAAAGTTTATCGTATGTCATGACATTCCTCACCTTCGTGTGAACAAGCTCTTTCTCATTG